AAAAGAAATAGTTGAGTGAACTGTGTCACCTAGCAATTACGATGTCCATTGCAAAAGGACTCAGCATAGTATGTCGTGAGCCACGGTGAGGAAGGCCTTGGCTTTTCAGCATCTTGATGGCGTTTTTCAGCTTGCCCCAAGTAAAAACGTCCAAATAATAAGTATTTATTTACCTAATTGCTTTCTCAACGTCTGTTTTAGTACGTTATAGGAAATCATATAAAAAATTCAATAATCACAGAAAAGTGCTCGAGCCGGAAATCGTAGTGTGGGCAGGCCTCCCACTAGGTGGACCGACGATCTGGTGAAGATCGCGGGAGGTGCCTAGGTCTATAGGTGGTCTTTCGAAATCCTTGAGGGAGGCCTTTGTCCAGCAGTGGACGTCTTTCGGCTGAAACAAACGAACGAATCTTTAAAATCATCATAGACTTTAAGCGTTGGGAATACGGTTCAACCTGTCCCTTGCACTTCGTTGAATTGAATCATTATCACAAAAGATACTTAAACCAAATTAGTAGCAATAGTTCTCTCATTACAAACACACACTCGTAACATAAGTAAGGGAAAACACGAACAATGGTGTTATCACACTTAAATAATATTACGATGATTTTAAAGAAGAAAAAATTTAACCATGAATTTCGATGGTTACAATAGGCTAAAGAAAATAATACTAACACTCTCCCATGGCTTCACCATTGTTTGAGTAAATTAACTTTCATTTAGATGAACAAAAAGATTTTAATTAATGGTGTAATGAAAAATTGTGTCAATGTTTGGTTAGAATGATGATCCCGTCGTAAAAAGTTATTGGCGATTGTGAAACAAATTGGCTTACAAAATGCCTATGTTTTCATCCATTTGACAGATTGCATCTAAGAAGGACTGGTGAGATGAACAGAGACCACGTTTCAGCAAACGTACCTTAGGATGATCCTCTGATCGAGGGACTGATAACCTCATAAAATTAACGGCAGGGGCTAAATGAAAGATATTTAATTTTCTCTACACTAAATATTAAGAAGCTGAGTTGCACCATCCTACTTTAACTTTAACAAACGTCAAAATTCTATCAAATTCTTTACATGAACACCGGTTATTGTTATTATTACGGTTAAAGGAAGTTGGTGCAACTCAGCCTAAAGAGGAAAGATTTGATATTAGTAGGCACCGAAACTACTGAATCGTTTTGTAAAATTCTTTCACCATTAAAATATAACTCTTTGGCACCTAGCTCGCGATGGTGGCCGTTAGGGCAGAAAAGTTCTCGAGTGGCGACCACGGGCTGGAAGACGTAGTACTTAAACTAGGTAGTCTGACGATCTGGTGAAGTCGCGGGAAAAGCCTGGATGCGGGCAGCGCAGGACCGGTCATTATAGAAATCCTTGGAGGCCTTTGTCCAGCAATGGACATCATTTGGCTGAAATGACGAATGAACAAGGATATGTACATAATAAACCATAACCTACCCTTTTTAAGAAAGCGGGGATTCCAAAAGCACCACGGTAGATGCCATTGAAAGTGAGATGAACGAAAAAAACGAAAGTCGCATGCTGTGCAACACAGCGCTCGTGTTAACGGTGAGTTTCAAAAATTTGCTCATATTGCGCCATTGGGTCCGTTTACACTGTACGATTTATCGTTACGTTTCACGCTTATGGAACTCAATAATTCCCAAGAATATCATTTATTCTCAAGAAAGATATGTGTTACTTAGGCCCGATTCGACCAAACCTTTATCCGAGATTAACTCCTGGTAGGTATAACTGGCACGACAGTTTCAGTATGGGAAATATGTCAAAACTGACGATTTATTCGGAGATTAGTACTTACTCTTGTTTGGTCGAATCCACCCTTATCTATCTATATAAATAAAAATGAAATGCTGTTCGTTAGTGTTTAGTAGTGTTCGGTAGTGATTAAAACTCGAGAACTGATGGGCCGATTGAGCTGATTTTGGTTTTAAAATGTTTGTCGTAGTCCAGGGTAGGTCTAAACGGTGAGCAAATACGCGCGCGATATTGTTTTTCTGTGACAGACAAAATTCCACGCGGGCGAAGCCGCGGGCGGAAAGCTATTATAAACAAAAATATATAAAAAGTACATATTGTCACTAACATTACTATGAGGTCTCACAGTGCTCGTGGACGCACACGGTGACAAACCAATTACAGAGCTCTATTCAACGTTGTGCGTTCGATTTGCTGCTTTACACAAAACAAGCATCGTTTGTAAATACGGACGTTAAAAATTTCACTGTTCATGAAACACACATCTGTCAAACTTGGAATTGGTCACGTCATTTGACTGACAGTTAAATTAAGAAACATCTAAAAATGTAGTCGGGTGTAAAGGTTCCATAACGGTCTGCTGTCATCTTCATTCACATCTAACTTTCGATATCGATCGATTATGTGTTACTATTCATCTCTTTCGTCCACAATACGAAAATATACTCTCATCTCTTTTTAGCACCAACAATATATCACGAGCCAAATAATTGTTTCATAGCGAAACTTTCTTCCAAACATTTTCAACGACCATTTGAAATTGGATAAAGTGTTATTTAATATGGTATAAGTGACCATAAACAATATCTTTGAACTGTATCAAAATGGTTACGTTTTCGTGGGTAGTTTGACAGAAATGCGTGATTTATGTGTCTATTTGTTACTGTAACGGCTCGTTTCCACGATAATCCAGTTTTATGGGATCCAACAATGCAGGATCCCCCAAAATTATACTGCCGACTGACTGACATAGTGATCTATCAACGCACACCCCAAACCACTGGACGGATCGGGATGAAATTTGGCATGCATAGATGTTATGACGAAGGCATCCGCTAAGAAAGGATTTTACGAAACTCCACCCCTAAGGGGGTAAAGCGGGATCCACGCGTACGAAGTCGCGGGCAGCACTTGTGTGCTTGAAATGCAAACCTTTGCGGGACACTGCAAACGGGACGTAAGTGTGAACTTTAGCATTAAAATACGTATGCTACTGAATAGTATCCTGCAAAAAGGAGTTCCCGTAAAAACCTGGATGTCTTCGAGGGAACAAGTCCTAAGATTGAAAATCTGTTCGCAGCTAAAGGCATTTTGGACTGTCTTCTAGATATTGCTATTCCAGGGCTACATTTGGAAATACGATAGCTAAAAAGCTATAAAAATCTGTGGTTGAGGATTCCGGGTGAAGTTTACTTCTACTTTCGGGCTTATCATCGCTTTCCATCAGGTGAGATGCAGGCCAACTAGGTTCCCCGTTTCGGTAAATAAATCACATAGGTATAATCTCCACAATAACGTTTGCCTTGACCAACATACATAGGACTACCCTATGAGCCAACTTGACCTTCCCTGTATAAACTTGACCTTCACTGGTTGGGTTTTTGTTAGCGGTCAAGCTTCAGATACTTCGTACACAGCAGTTGCAGCGGTGGGAACGAGAGGTGGGAATAGTCCCGTACTCTGTGAACCACTGGGTCAACCGTCATATTATCAAAGTATAAATATTTAATGCAGTACAATCTTCAATAATAAGCATTCAATTAATTCACCTCTATTTGGCTAGGATAGATTACAAATGACCAAAGAAATCATGTCCGGCTTTTAAGTCAGACATGGATAAACCAATAATCCTGTCAATTTGTAACTCGATTCGAAATGCCCATCAAAATAAGACCTCAATCCATTATAAAGTGACCCATTAACTAAGGCAGTAAACGTTTGGGACAACTTATTTTTCCTGATTGGTTTTCATTGACAAATTGTAGATCCTGGCCACACAGAAGCAAAACTATAGATTGAAAAAGAAGTGAGAATAGTCCTCAAAAGTAAATTACGATTAATACTTAGAGCTTTCAATTATGTTTCACAAATCTGTTTTAATTTCTTTCGGTAAAATCATTGGCTAATCAAATTACCACATTATACTTGTCAAAAAAACACTATCATACTCGCCAAGTCATACAAAACCCATTATAAAACGCGATATCATAATAACGAGCGTAATCCAAAGAAATATACCATTAAAATTTCTTTTGAAAAAATGTTAACGACCGTTACATAAACCTGAGAATCGGATGCTTTTTCAGAATGGGAACCAGTTATTTTAGCTGCCAATTTCTATTTACTCATATTATCTTGTCGAACTAGTTTTTATTTACGTACATACAACCAGGTGGATGTCTAGTTGTGTAATTGAATTAATGAGTTATTTCGCCTGTTCTATTAATAAATGCAAATTTTCCAAAATTATACTTATATCTTTATATGTATCTATTATTAACTTCAAGTGAAAGCGATTTGTCTAATTATAATTAAAGTGATAAATTTACATAATGTTGCAACTTGAGGCTAATTTAAGCAAAAGTTAATGACCTATGTATAAATATTAGTCTAATACAAAGAAGTTTATATTTGCTTTGAAAGCTCCTTTTTACTCTAAAAAGCTTTGATGAAAATTAATTACAAAAATTCAAAATTTCACAGGTGATGTGACAAAAATAATTTCAAATGAGCCGTGAATAAAGTTTTATGTTGAATAAGCATGAATTATTTTCAATTTTCCAAAACTTAAATGTTGAATAATTTTAAAAACTTAATGAGGATTTTTAATTTTATTATTAGCTTGATTTATTGGTTTAGCTAAATAAAACTAAACGAACCTGCTACCAAAGGATTAATAATCACGCTTCTTTAGTAAAAGCTCATTGACTGAGCTCTATGATTTCAAATTAGAAAATTATCATTACCATAAATTCCGCTAAAAAATTTAATATTATGTCTATGTCCTCAAAATCATACCTAATCTGTGTCCCTACACACGATCGAATATTTGTCAAAACGAACCTATTTACATAAACATTAGGGTCTAAACTGACTCGGATTTTATCTTAACCTAGATGAACCGCCCGCCGTATGAGCATAACATAGAATGCGGTGGGGGGGGATCCGATAAAACTGTATGGCATGCCCGCTACCACGCCAAACATAACTTGACATCACTCGATGTCAGAAAAACAATAATTCGGCCAGTGAGAAAAAGTTTTTAAATTCAAAAAAGATGAAGATCACTTTCGTTTTCGCCCTCGCCGTTCTGGCTTGCGCGTACGCAGATGACAGTGACAGGACCCTGGAGACGGCCATCAATTTCGTCAAGGACTGCAGAGGGGACTACACCCTATGTGTTAAGGTTCATAATTCAATTATTAAGTGAAAGTGTAACAGTGAATGGAACGTGTTTCAGTGTGTGCGGTATCGAGTTCCGAGGACTTTAATTTCACTCGTTTCTGAGATAACTTTTAGCATTTATTTTAACTTTTGTAAACATAACCAAACTCTTTAGATTCTAATTCGAACTCATCTCAATCCATATTCAAAATGATTCTAAACTTAAATTCAAAATTCTAATTCCAAAATTCGAATTTCCAGGAGAAACTGTTAAGGATCGTTGACAACCTGAGAGCGTCTCGCAGCATCACCATCGCCGAAGGCATTGTCTTCAAGGGTGACCCTGACAAGAGGGCTAAGAAGCTCGATGCCCTCCCTGTGGACGAGTCAGCCAGAGACCTGGAGGTCAACTACAGGCTCATGGATGGAGTCGTCAGTCTCTTCGAGACCCACGCCTTGGAGGTCAAGATGAACCAGGCCGATAAGGAGACCCTGCAGAGGTCTCTCGATGAAGGTAGGCTATCTTTTAATTATCAATTAATAAATTAGCAAGCGAATACGTTTTGTTTGCGGCGTTAATCCGATAATTTTATTGATGCTCCTGCAGATAACGCAAGTAAATTATTATTTATTACAAAATATCTTATGAACAACGATGTTAATGAATTAAGTTTCAATTTGAGTAATGTTTGTGTATGATTTTAACTTTCAAATTAATTATTGACTTGCTATTCATTGTATTTCTCGTAAATTGCATCATTGGAATCGTAATTTTGTGTAGATCTTATAAATGGTACACAATATCGGTTCAATGAATCCTTGGATCAATTTTATTAATAATTTTGAAAATTATGCAATCCATGAATCGCATAAATTATTATCACTTCCCATCTTAAAAATACATTTTTATCTATATAGCGAATATCAAAAGTGTTTTATAAATTACCCAAGTTTATCAACTTAAATAAGATATTTTACTTTAAAAGCTATGAAAGTGATTTATTTTCTGCAAATAAGCTAGCTCTTTAAAAGCGCTTTTGCAGGGTTAGAAAGCTCCAAAAAATTCGCATTTCATGAATGTTTTTGTATTTCAGGCCGTGGCAAGAAGAAGAACAGCGGCATGGGCGGTATCATCGGTCTTCTCGGCGCCAAGATCCTCCTCGGAAAGCTGTTCATCGTCAAGCTCATCGCCCTCAAAGCTCTCGCCACCGCCAAGATTGCCTTAGTCCTGGCCGTCATCCTCTTCGTGGCCTGGTGCCTCAAACACGACACCGCGAAGACCACCTACGAAGTGGTTCCCCATGCTCACCACCACGAATCTCACCACCCTGTCCACGTAGAACACGTCTCCCATGACGTCGGCCATGGCCATGGTGGTGGTGGCTACTCCAGCTACGGCTCTGACTGGAACAAGAACCTCGATGAGGCCCAAAACCTGGCCTACAGTGCCTACTCCCACAATAAGTAGATAGACCAAATGGGCATAGCCGAATTTAACCTCTGTTGTACAAAGACTTATTTATTTTATTTATTATTAATTTATTGCCATTATCTTTAATAAACGAATTGAATTTACGGTGTTGTTTTATTGCTAGATACAGTAGTCATATGTCACAGTAAACGAAAGGTTATGAACTATCAAATAATAATAAATTGTGTAGTCGTATTTTTATTGAAACCCAAACTGATAAATTAACAACATAACAGACGATAATTTGTCTAAATCAGTACAAACTGCTATACTTATGTTGTACGACACGCAAAATTGCCTTAAATCACTAAAAACCTTCATGATTCTTCATAAGTTAGTAAATTAACGATATACCTCTCTATAATCGATAAAAAAGTGGTGAGAAAACTGTAAATTGACTGACACTTCACAAGATTACAAAGAATGATTTATGACAAGTGAACCTTAAAAACGAAAGTTACAAAGTGTACGTAATGACATATCGATCTTGTATGATCGTATACATTATTACTTACAAAGAAAGCGAAATCTTTATGGTATCTTTAAAGATCAGACGCAATCGGTGCTCATTTGGCCGAAGGCACAGCTATTTTGTAAACAACTCCATTATTTTTCACTTTCTTTTATTTAATAGCTAATAAAATTGATTAAAAGCCGTATTTTACCGATCACCAGTTCCGGACATGTCGCTAAGTCCGGTTTGGGGCTCTCTAATATGCATATTTATGTATGTTCCACATTTTTATATCACTATATGATTATTAGGCGTCAAGAGAGATTTCTTACATACCGGACCACTATTCGTTAACAGTCCAAAACTGGTTTTAAGCAGATTTCATTAAAGGCTCCACTTTCTATATGGGTTTCTCGAGATTTCGACTAATTTCGTCTCCATTGAGAGTGAAGGTACTCAGCTGACCGCAGTAATTAACAATTACCTTATTCAGTTTCGAAATTCAAATGTTTACTTTAAATTCTTTAACAACACTGCTTAATTTAAAAAAACAAACATCAACTGTTGAATCACAAGGTGAATGTAATGCTTTTAATTTTATAACTGGCTGTAAAACAAAACACAATCCTCCTTTATGAACGCAACACAGATAAAAAAGTTTAAGCAAATGATTACTTAACCGAACTTTTTTTTTAAGTTCTTAATGGCCAGTTGTTTAGCGATTAATCTGTAATCAAATTAGATGGAAACACGTCTATAGAACAAAAGACACTCTATATCGATCAGAGATAAGTATGATTTACGTCCAAGCGATTTGAACGATCCAGCTGATAGCATCAGGGACTTAGCTTTCGCTATGACAAAGAGAAATCATAAAATACATTGTTAATGTCACTCTAGAATTGCTGACATTTTGTGTGAAATGGTTGATTTATCCAGAAAATTGATAATAGTTTTGTGTACATACACATGGCTGCTAACCCATTAGGTGACAATCTATATTTCTATACTAATATTATAAATGCGAAAGTAACTCTGTCTGTCTGTCTTTCACGCTAAAACCACTGAACCTATTTTGATGAAATTTGGCATAGAGATAGTTTGAGTCCCGGGAAAGGACATAGTATAGTTTTTATCCCGGTTTTTGAAACAGGGACGTGCGCGATAAAGTTTTTCTGTGAGAGACAAACTTCCACGCGGGCGAAGCCGCGGGCGGAAAGCTAGTAGAGTAATAAACGGACTTACGAGTATGTTAGTTAAAATGAATTTATATATTCGTACTATTATAATAATACTCACCTTCTTTTTATTATTAGGTATTATTCATGAATTGCGCCTTGCTGATTTCAAACTTTCGATTTCAAAGTACGATAACTTTTCTCCACAATATAACATAGCTACGAGTATAGTATATTATTCTAAAGAGGTTCTCAACCTCGCTACTTATAATCAACTCCTATTATTAAATAATAATACAAAATTATACTGTTACAACAAGAAATGAAGTTTAAACAGACATCTGACACCTCAAAACAAAGCTTTAGAAAAGATAATGATACGCTGGTGATATTAAGGTTTTTTAAATTACACTTATTGTTATTGAGTGAAATTGCCCTTGTAGCTATTACCGAATTAAATTCGAAGTACGAGATATTTTGCTCTCACTGACTCTGTGGTCTAGTAGTAAGAACACCTGCTTCAGACCCAGAGGTCCCGGGTTCTATTCCCACTGGGGCAGATTTTTCTGTTCGATTTGGTTAGTGGTAGAGCCTGGCTAGCTACCACTATTTTATCTAAGTCTGTCGTCATAACGACAATATTCATTTTGATTATGGTGACAGGCTAAGATAAAATGGTCGCATTGTTCTGTTCCGGTAATTAGAGGTAGGTAAGTACGGGACTATTCCCACCTCTCGTTCCCACCGCTGCAACTTCTGTGCAGCCAGGATCTACAGCTTGACCGCCATAAAAAACCCAGCCAATGAAGGTCAAGTTTGTCCCGGGGGAAAGTTAAACTGTCATTGGACCCGCAACGAAATTAATCAGAAGAACATAGGAGGAGTTCGAAGTTAAGATTCGACTTACCTCGGTAGTTAGGGGTAAGTACCCAGTTCCTCTGTGGTTGAGGATTCTGGGTGAAGCTCGATTCCACCTTCGGCATAATCATCACTTTCTATCAGTTGAGATTCAGGCCAAGAGCTTCCTGACCTAGCTTGACCACTTAATACTTTGTTACTTCTGCATAGTCATTACGGTAAGTAGGCAATAAAGTGATTTTCCACATGAATCAATTCCAGTCCAGTTTCTTACAGCTAGTAAAAACTAAGACAGCATAATTACACTCATCCAAACGTAACCTATTTGTATTGAAGATGGATCGGCTTTATTGTTCAGTTACTTTAAATGAAGCGTACTCTGTCAAAGTTAATTAATTAAACTTAGCTTTTCCAGAATGCATAATTATGGGGGTTATTGGTCTTCAAGAATTGATGAAATGTAGGTGTGCATGTTTCGTTGCTATATCCTGAAAGATAAATATTTCAATGTGGGTATTATGCCGTGGTAATAAAATGTTAAGGTGGACAGACGACCTCACAAAAGCAGAAGGCGCTGGATGTACATTGCTACCAATCGGTCAATCTGGAATGATCTGGATGATGCTGATGACGATTATGAACTTTGGGCCAAACAAAATTGCATTAAAATTCAGGCTTTTGTTATAAAATACAGGAGATAAAAGCTTATTAAGAGAAAAATAAATACATAAATAAAATATAATAAGATAGAAACTTATTGATTCCTTTTTCAAGAAACCAGTCATATAAAATCTAAAGTAATTTATAGAAGTAGCCTGACTAAACTAATATGAAATAGCCCTTTAGCAAAGATGAAAACAAAACTGATTCAGTGAAAACCACATCCTTCACGCTCTATTTGCTGTCGAAGAAATCGTGCTAAGCTTACACGAGCAGCGTTGGGTCACGAGTTCGATTCCCGCACGGGAATTCTATGCCCTTTTAATAGTTAGCCGTTTGATTCCAGGAGAATAGAATAGAACCACTAGTTACTAACCTACTCTTCTCGTAAGTGTCCCAAAGGTGATAATATACAAGTCACAAACGATGCTTGCTTAAGTGAAGCAGCAAATCGAACGGACAGCGTTGAATAGAGCTTTGTGATTGATTCGTGTGTGACCCTGTGCGTCCACGCGTACTGTGAGACCTCATAGTAATGTTTTGGAATACGGGCGTTAAGGACACATCATGTGTGAACATCAGGCCTCTTCAACCCGTATGGCCAACGTGAAGAGTTTAAGACAAATCCTCCATTTGCTTGTGTTAAATTAAGTAAAGTGGTGCTCCTTCCTGCAGTCCTTTCAAAATCAAAATCAAAAATATTTTATTCAGTTTTGATCAATATTTTGGTACTTATAAACGTCAAAAGCTTTACGTGTTATCTTTTGGGCCCTAACAGCACTTTCAGACAAACATAACTGAGAAGGAACAAAGTTTAATAAAATGGACTACCTGATGCTGATGATTTTCATTTCATTATAAGAACAGTGAAATTATAATGGATTTTATTAAATTTAGCTCTAGAAAACAGCCACATTAAAAGTGAAAATTATGTAGAGGAAACTACTATGACCGAAGAAAGCGCAGAAATAGTTTCGTATCTCGAATTGCGTTATAAAACTGTCATGGGATGACAAAATATAAAACAAAAGCATTATTTTTATGACGATGTAATAAATACCAAGTACGTGAGACTTTAACAAGCACATAACATTGAGTTAGTTTGGTTTAAAAGCAGCGGGAAATATTTGTTATAGTATAAAATAAGATGCCACAGTTCTAAGCATGTTGTGCTGTCTTCTCTACAAAAAAATTAAGTTTTATTTCGACTCGTAATAATAATACAATTAGAATACGTCGATAAGTATCTATAATAAGTAGATGTTCTTCGTTTCAGCCAAATGACGTCCACTGCTGGACAAAGGCTGTCCATAACGACCGGTCCTGCATCCAGGTTCTTCCCGTGACCTTCACCAGGTCATCGGTCCACCTAGTAGGAGGCCTGCCTACGTCTTCTGGCCCGTGATTGACATCGATAACTTTTATGCCCCAACGGCCATTTTCTCTACGAGCTATGTGCCCTCCCACTACCACTTAATTTTAGCAATTCTGCGAGCTCTTTCGGTCATGCGGGTTCTCCTGCGGATTTATAGTTTTACTTGAATGAATATTAAAGTAAATCGGTTACAAATCGATTTCCACAAAAAATGTAGTAGCGGGTACCTAGTACAGCTAGTATCAAATATTCCTGACACTTCTATGCCATTTCCTTCTCACAAATCGATAAGTATTCGTTCACACAACCTAATCGATGGACGGAAGACATAATTTCGAAATATCCGCTCTGAAACACCGAATAATAAATGAGGTATTGTGTCTGTTTTGATTTGAAGTATATTTATTACTTTAGATCAGTGGGAACTTCATACTCGTTTGATAATAAAACATTGGCATTTTAAAGATTTAAGTGTCTCATGGAATTTGTGAAAATGTAGACGACGGCACTTCAAGCTAAACATTGCGGCATATTTATGTAGTTGTAATAGCTATTTTGCATTAAAAGTGTAACCTACCT